TCTGTAAAGTCCAGGAGAGGATGCAGTGCATTGTGAATAGACTCCAACACCTGAACATCCTGCCAGGATGGGATGAGGGAGCGTGCATATCGGTCACCTGACAATACCTGAGAAATGGCTTTGAGCTGCTCTAGCACCCTGGCAATCATCATTTCTTTGGATCCCCATCTTGTTGGGCATTCAGTGATGAGGCTGTGCTCAGGAAGTTTGAGCTCCCTCTGTGCTTCAGTCATTGCTGCCTTCTTCTTCCAACTGTGAGAGAAGTGCCCCACCACATTCTTGCACAGCCATATTGCTCTTGACACCCTGACATCTTTGAGTGCATGTCCTGTAATACAAAATAATATAAGAACAGTGTAATTTATACAATTTGATTTGTGTGATTAAGGTTATCAACTTTGGAATAAATACACACATTCACATTCTCTCCCTCCACCTCTTACATTCACACACACACACACACACACACACACACACACACACACAGTCTCTCTCTCTGCTCACACAATCACGCACACACATGCCGACATACATCATGATACTAATTTACGTACCGATGGCAAGATGTAATCGATGCCCAAAACACTGCAGTCTGGTCCATTCATTTATCTGTGCTGCCATCACCACATTCGATGCGTTGTCCGTCGTTATACAGATGTGGTTTTCTTCCTGTAGATCCCAGCTGGCAAGCCCTTCTCTCAGGGCGGCTGCAATGTTTTCCCCCGTGTGGTTGTCCGGGAAGTAGAATGCTTGAAGGCAGCGAGCTTTGAGATTTAAGTCTTCGTCAATGTAATGCACCGTTAGACTCTGGTATAGCTCCGACGTACGGCTCGACCACAGATCAGTTGTTGTTGCAAAAAACTCCACTGTTTTCAGCTCCGCTGCAACTCTCTGTCTGCATTGTTTGTATAGCTCAGGTATGGCAACCTGGCTAAAATGTGTGCGTGAGGGCATTCTGTACCGCTTATCCATTGTGTTTACCAAAGCCGTAAACCCAGGATTGGTCACTACACTAATGGGCATCATGTCTTTCGCTATGAACTCCGTTATTGCCTGAGTTATTTCCGCGTGCCGTTTCAAATTCTGTTCATAAGGAGTGATACTTTCAAACAGTTCGGTCAGTGATCCCTGTCGGCTGGTACTTTGCTTACTTGAAGTTGTAGCACTGGTCGTTGGCATTCTAGCCATGCAACTATCGTACATGGCTTTGTGAGTTTTTTTTAAGTGTTGATAAAGGTTCGTAGTGTTACCTCGTGAGGTAGCAACAGTAGCAAGGCACGTTCTGCACAATACCTGACGTTGCGCAGCATCTTCTTTTTTATAGCCAAAATAATTCCACACAACTGACGTGCCGCCCCACTTTGGTACCAGACTTTCAGCTGTGCGCTCTTCTGACGAGCCTGAGGCCATTGTGCAGCAGGTTAAAGCGCAGCGTTGACTTCTCTCCCTGCCTGCTCTGCTTTGCGCCGCTCGGCTCACTCGCAAGTCACGTGACCAGATCACGTGACCAGTCAAATCGCAGCCCTTGCGGTTAGAAAATCTCATTTTGTCATATCGCGATATTATCGCAAATGCAATTAATCGTTCAGCCCTATCATATATCACATCATATCATATATCATGTCACATCACACCATCATATGATATTATAATCGATTATTAGATTTGGTTTTTTTATTGTGCTACAGAATTCTGCTTAATTCTAAACTTGGGTTTACTCATTTTAATCATATAAACAATCTTAAATTAAATTTACCTTTGTCAGTATAAGCCTCAGCCAGTTTCTCACATGCCAAATCTAGGAATGCCTTTAAATCCTACTGTTATGTTCTTATTTGTGTATATATACACACTATATACATATATATATATATAAATGTGTATATATATATATATATATATACACGTTCTATTTGTTACAGGTATCTTTCAACTGGAGATTCCTTTAAGACCATCGCCTTCAGTTACCGTGTGGGACACTCCACAGTTGCTGGCATTATAAAAGATGTGTGTGAAGCCATTTGGGATAACCTGGTAGGGGAGTAGATGCCACCACCTAAGAGGGAATGCTGGGGAAGAATCGCAACCGATTTCCAGCGGTTGTGGAATTTCCCCAACTGTGTTGGAGCAGTGGATGGCAAGCATGTAGTGATCCAGGTCCCTGCCTCCAGCGGATCCCTGTATTTTAATTATAAGGGATCCATTGTGCTGCTTGCAGTTGTTGACGCCCAGTATCACTTCCGAGTAGTGGATGTTGGGGCTTATGGCCGAAGCAGCGATGGTGGTACATTGGCTGTTTTCAGCATTTGGAAGAGCTCTTTGTCAGGGCAATCTTGACCTACCAGATGACACACCTCTCCCTGGTGCTGAACATCTGGGGCTTATACCACATGTATTTGTGGCTGACGAAGCATTTCCCCTGCGAAGATACATGAGGAGACCACACCCTGGCCAAAACATAGGGAGAGAAAAAAGACTGTACAACTACAGGCTGTCCCGGGCCAGACGCGTGGTGGAGTGTACATTTGGCATACTGGCAACACAATGGCGGCTGTACAGAAGAGTGCTGGGAGTGACACCAGAAATTGCAGAGAAAGCCATCAAAGACACGTGTATCCTCCACAAACTTCTGAGGTTAGGTCTGTCAAATGACCATCCACAGGCAACATCAGAACCTCAATGCAGTTCCAGGGCGATGGGGGGTCTCAGTCGAATGAGCAGCAACAATGCTTCACGGGAGGCTGTTGCCATCAGAGAGAGGTTCACAGAATATTTCTCGTCTGTTGACGGTGCAGTGCCATGGCAGGAAGACGTTATTTAATATTTTAACAGCATACAGCATCATTATATACAGTATGTAATATAATATAAGTAATTTGGTCATGATACTCATACAATTATAATGAAATAAATGGATTATATTTGTAAAAAAAAAACAAACACGCATCATCATCTCAATTCAGAAGATCTGTTTATTTATTGCTTATTTGAAAACACAATAAAACATATGTATGGAAATATTTCAATGCATAAAAATATAAAATATAACATTAACATGTAATTAAAAATATAAAATGTCATTTTAAACTAGACAAGGACTACAATAATAAATAAAAGAAAAAGAGAAAAAACATGTTATCCCACAATGTGTTTGTGTCTGTCACCCCTGTCTCTACTGAATGTAACCCCAATTTATTCAAACTCAGCCTCATAGAGAACTCGCTCAATTTTCATCCAGACCTTTGCCTTTTTCTGCTGAGACAATCTTTTAAATGTTCCAACAAGACTCATGAAATAGAGTTCATCATAGTCTTGTGGTTTACTCAGGTTGCCCAGAATGCTCTTCTGAAATTCGGAGAGGTCTGGCTCGGTGCTCCTTTTCCTCTTTCCCATGGTGGCACATCCATTGGAGACAGGGGTGACAAGCAGAAGATTCTGGGGTGACACAGACTGGCTGCTTGCTGGCTGGCTGCTGCCAGCTGGCTGGGTGCCTGGCTCCACTGGAACCAGGGTGAGGGTTATGAGGGTCTCACCTTGGCTCTCGTATGGGGATAAAACAAAGTTCATTTTAGCAGAAAAGTCTTAAGATGGGGCAAATACTTATGTATTATTTAAATAAATTTTACACAGGTAAATATATTTGAATTATCCAAACTGTTTAATCACCTTACAGCACCCAAAAAATAACAATAAAATAATAAATAGGTACACCACTGTCAACAACATAAAAACTTGTGGAACAAACTGAAATTAGATCTGTGGATAATTTCATTCTTATAATCTACCTCAGTGAATTCACAGACAGGCAGATCTGGGGATTTGGGCATGTTTGAAGAAGTTGGCCTCTCCTTAACAAAAAGCTCCAGAAAACTAAGGGCGCTCATAAAGTTCCACTTCCTTTGGTTTCCTCCCTCAGAGCCACCTTTCTTCTCCTTGTCTGCTTTCCTCTCCTTAAAGAGGACATGAAACAACGGAACAGACACCAGCATATGAAATGTGTGCATTATTAAGACATACTGACGAAATAAAAAGTCGGAAAAGTCAGCCTATTTTAGAGAAATCCACTTTATAAATGCATTTACGATACGTTCACTTCACTTCTTCACTTCAACTTTATTATGTCCCAATATGGGCAAATTGGGTTGCCGCAGGCACAGGCATTATAAACAAATTGCAGAAAGTACATTTGCAAAAAGTACATTTGCATGAGAAACAAAACACACAGATAAATAAAAATAAAAACCTAAGAGCATACGTCAGTCAGACAAGTATTTTTGCATGGGGGTGGGGGTGGGGGACAGAGTTCATAAAGTGCAATTCAAAGTGCTATGTGCGATTTGCATACCAGTTAGAGAGAACCCATGGATCAGGCTAGGTCTCTCCGAGATCTAACGAGATCAGGCGTGATCAGTATCAGTATCAAATCACATCTGTCAATCCAAAATAGAAAGAAACCTAGGAGCATACGTCAGTCAGACAAGGTTTTTTTTTTTTTTTTTTTTTCATGGGGGAGGGGGGATTGGGGTCAGAGTTCATAAAGTGCAATTCAAAGTGCTATTTGCGATTTGCATACCAGTTAAAGGGAACCTGTAGATTAGGCTAGGTCTCTCCGAGATCTAACAAGATCAGGCGTGATCAGTATCAGTATCAAATCACATCTGTCAATCAATTTCCCATTCTTTCAGACCAGAATGGATAATCCATTTACCACACAGGTAATTAACTATGAGAGATTTTCGGGCCGTGCTCAGCGCCATCTTTATTTTACATCACTCCCTACATCAGCGGAGTGGTTGGTTGGTTTCACGACACTGTGTCTGTAGGCAGAACAAGAAGAAGAGTAGTAGTTTAGAAAATTTACAGAGAGAAAAGATGTCAGAGGACGAAGCCGAAAGATATAACATTATTGATCTGTCATCAAATCCAATGGCCTATGCCTTTGAGCCACTGACGAGGAGGAGGGTGGAAAGTTTCAATTTTGCTCCGGACAAGGATGGCAGCCAGGAGAGGGTCGGCAACACTACATGGTGCATGTGTGGGCACTGCTCCGCAATGCAGACCACCGCGGAGTCTATCTGCTGCCGTGAAGCAGATTTGGATTGTAGGTTAGGGGAGCTATCCTGCATTACCATATCCCGCACCTTCCAGATGCTCTGTTGTGAGAGGGACGTCTTGGAAGTCTCCATGCTATCCCTGCGTGAAGTCTGTGCAGAGAGATTGGAGCGGCCTATAAACAGCAGGTGGGTTAAAGCTAACCTAAAAGTTGATGCTATTTGTTGTAAGGTAATGTCAATGTCAGCAGTCGCTGTCTGTCAGATAAAAGCAGTCTGTCTGATATTATCCATCGTTACTAACGTTATATCTCATCAGTTTATTCTACTTTACCAACGTTAGCATGCAACTGTTAGCATGCTAACGTTACGAACGTTAGCATTAGCATGCAACTGTTGGCGCCATTAGCATGCTTATTAGTTAGCAGGTAAAACACACTAATGTTACCAGGCTTCAATTTGTTTAATTTCCTTGGCTTGAACCACATTTTCATACGTTACTGTCACTCCAAAGATAATTACTTAAACCTTGAAATATAGCTAAACATAAGCAGAAGTGCTTTTAACATTTAATGCAGATGTATGTAAATTACTTACTGCAACTGGTAATAAACGAGTAAATGTGATTGAATGTAGCTATATAAGTTGAATGGGCTGAGATACAAGATATACATTATGATAAAGCACGTGTCTTTCCATGTAATGTCATACAATATAACTTGTTTAGGCCAACAAATGATAGACAACTCTTTTTGTCAGTCTGTTCAGGTTAACTGCATACAGACAGTTCACTTTATGGGCCAGAGGACACCTTGGGAGGAGGAACAGGTTGCCTATTCCAGCATGTGTGGTGAACATCATCAGGACTGCTTTCCCATCTCCAGAATACCACGGCTTTGAATATTACGACGATGATGACTTTTAATGTCGGTTAGTATTGAAGTGACATATGGATTGGTTTGGTTTTGTTCTGTCACATCATGCAAATAAAAATTGTAATTTACAGAGACAAGTTAGTACTCACATTTGTTTTAACAATGAACATTAATTGTGGGGTAGTAGTAATTTTGTCTCCTGTAAAGTGATCAGAGTAACAAAGAATTGACTTATTTTTTTATAGAATAAATGGATAATTTAATATCATGTCATCTATCTCACTGCAGCATTAAACAACTTAACTACTTAACTTAAGTAACAACTAACTTAACTTGCTCAGTTTGATTCACTTAACAAGCAACCTGCAACTGTTTAGTGTCCTGTGTTTTTCAAAGCGGCTGAGCTTTCTTGCCACAGATTGAGCCTTTTCAGGTTTCTCAACCCCTTTGTGCTGGGCCAGGGTGCGTGTTGTCTCTGTTTTGTGCTGTTGGAGTTCCGCACGTATGGACGCAGCCTTGGCCCTGCGCAACACACCGGACACAATGTCCTTCCTAAAGGTATATTCTTTCTTGACTTTCCTTGCTGTCACCACATACTCTCCTGCACCTTTGGAATACTGCTGTTTGAACTGCTCCTGGCCTTTCTTTGTTTTTGCAGTGGCTCTGCTGACATTGAGGTTGTGGTCCAGTGCAGCTATCTTCAGCCTGGCCTCAAAGCTCTCCCTGAGAAACTTTTTCCTCTTGGTGGCGTATTTTGTGTACAAGGAGTGTACACTCTCAAGCTGCCCTGTGCATAAAGACGGTATGAAAATTTCATATTGCAATTATTGTGACCAAAATTATCACAGTTATCATTTGTATTACTGTATTGTTAAATTGTTTACTGGTTAAAAAAAGTGTTGAGGCACTCACTGAAATCATTTGGCTTTTGTATTGATAACTCTAATTAAATTAGGATCACTATGCATTTTTGTTTGCATAAACATTTATCAGCAAAATAACATCCATGACATAATCATGGTTGAAGCAGGGATTTTTTTTTACTGTGCTTATAACGGCACCATAATCATATACGATTGTTGTGATAGTTCAAATTTGATATGGTACTTCTAACCATCAGAAATGTTATCATGGTAATCACTAAACTGATTATTGTTTCATCCCAACCTGTGTGAATGCCCTTTGTCGTCTTCTCTAGCTTTTGCAGAAGTGCCTTGTCAAGAACAATCTTCTGCAGGTGTTAAAAGGCAGCAGAGTTTGGACAAAGCCAGGGCTGCAGGCTCTCCTCTTCTGGAGTATATGGATGATGCTCACATCGGGTCATCATTTCACCACATGTCCAGTTGTGGACATTGGTGATGTGGTGAAGGATGGATGTCCACTTCTCCTTGAGCCTGGCTGCGCTTCCTTCACAGGTGCTTGCACAATACCACAGGTGGTTTGTAATCATTTTTGTCCACTCATATAGCTCCTCATTGTGGTTCACCAGTATTTTTTTCCGCAGATTCTTGACAATGTGCCACAGGTCATATTCATGCTGCACTTGTGTGTGTTTCTCTTGCAGGACCTTCTGCACAGACGGGTGGCAGTCGGTGGCAATAACAGAGACCTGCACACCATACTCTGCAAGCTGGACAGACACCTTTCCAGACCCTCAACCTCCAGCCAGTAGCTGCTCTTGACCTCTGTGACCATGACAGTCTCCTGTGCCACCACCAAGTTTGATTTGGTATCCAGAACTGTGTAAGTGCCAAATGTTGCATTGTGGCCAGGGCTGTCATATCGACCGTCTCTAGAGACAAGAAGTGGCTGATCTTGTAATGCAGCCAGCACAGCCTCATTGTGTTTTGTCCACAAATGATTTATCTCGGGGATGACGTAGGCCTTCTGAATGTTAAACCATTCTCTGCTTGAAATGGTTTGCAGACCAATGGCTTCACAGATCTTCAGAAATGGAGTGCTCTCATTGCCAGTGGCTAAGGTAGCGGCTGGGATACAGAGGTTACACTCCATCATTCCTCTTACAAGAGGCTGAGAGTTGAAGACATTGTCATGACCGTCGGTACATTCTGTTTTGATCTGTATTCCAAATCCACATTTTTTTAAAGTTGGTGGCTGGACAATACACTTGCCACAACCTTCCCAGTGGCACACATTGAAGAGCTTCTTTGTGTGACATGATGCTCATTTCCTTCACTGAGACCTCATTTTCCACATCACTCACACACTCATCACTCATGCTGTTGCATGCACAACACGGTTTCTTCGTCACGCAACTCAGTTGGTGGTGGTAGTGATGGAGGTATGCAGTCTACTGTTTTGCTGTAACGATGATCATGGATAATGTAGCTGCTGAGTAGGATGTTGTCTGTCACTGTGCCTGTATTGCTATACTCTTTAGTAATTGCAATGTCTTCATCAGTCTGGGTGCTCACACTGACTCTGTTATTCTGAGCCTCCTCCTGCTGCTCCTCCTTCTCCTCAACACGGATCATCTCTCTCTCCCTGTCTGTCATGCTGCTGCTGTTTACCAGACGAGTGACTTTTTGCCTCAACTGTCACAACAAAAGACAAATATATTTAATATAATAATACCTTATTTTTTTTCTTCCATTTTTCACACCTTAAGGTTGATCAATCACAACATGCTGAATGGGTTGGGCAAAGACAATGACCACAGAGGGAGAGCTGCAAGGTAGAGACTGTGGCAGACAACCTTCTCCCAGATTGACCCAGCTGAACCCTCCAATCCTCATCCATTGGTCTACACTGTTTCACAGAGTTGTGCCCAGAGTAGGAGTTGTCTCTGATTTGTGCTGCTGGTGACTTATAACTATGGTTTCATCAAAGTCAAAATTGAGTCAGACTATGTGTGAGTAAACGGTTTTGATGCACACTTGTGAGCCAATCACAGAAAATTATTAGTATTAACCCAGACCATGGCATAAGATGATGTTAATTCAATGCATAGAGAGAGTTAATTGTTTTTTGGTGTTTAACAAACTGAATGGTTCATCACTCTGCCACCATCAAGCTTGTAAGCCTGTTGCTGGGCATGATTTTGTAAATATGTTTTCCAATTTTCTTTTTCCAAGTAGGATCACAACATTATCTGAAATACACTTTATGGCTTCGAGAAAGTGTGCAGACTTTACCTCCTGCCTCTCACCACCTTGATGTTCTAAGTGTTTGGAATTATATTAATTGCATGCTGTTTTGTTTTGTTTCTTAAACTACTTAAAATGTAGTTTAGAAAACCTATTTAGGAAACATAATGTTTTATTATTATTAAAATGTTATTCTTGTGAAACTGTCATCTCAGTTTTCTTTAAGTAGCATAATTTTCTTTAAGTAGCATAATTTTATCAGTTACCATAAATTAATCAACTTGCTTTGTTAAACTGTTTACAATGGTGAAAAAAAGACATGATGGGTACAGCCTGGGTTTTAATTGGCTTGATGAAAGAACATGGATTGGACTCGCATATCAATTTTAATTTGACAGGTAGTTCTGTAATATATAAATATGGTGAGATAGTGCATTTATGGTATAAAATAATGCACAAAAGACTTAATTCTTAAATTAAACAAGTTCCTCTCTTTCCTGTCTAACATAATTGGACAAACCAATAAATCAATATGACCGCAATTCAGTCAGACAACTCAAAGATTGAAATCAATATCTTTATTGAGCATAATTATTTTGCATAGAGAAGTAGAGCATGAATAATTTTATCATGACTGAAGCAAGTTTTGCGATAGACCGTCTCAATTAATTCATTCCCTGAAAATGATCTCCATGACAGGGAATGAATAGCAGACCCCTGCTGGGGATCATAGAAACAGAGCCCCAGGTGGATGCTGGGGAGGTGGTGGGATTGAAAATCTTCATAGGCAGCACACAACAGCAGCAGAGTAGCCAGGAATGATCATCTTTTTCGCAATGATCAGGTAAACAGAGGGGTTAAATACCCCGGCACAATCGGATGATGAGGAGAGCGTGTGGCTGATCAGCTGATGAGGACTTGGTGCAGCTCGAGTTGTCTGCCTGACCTAGCTCCGCAGGCTTTGCTTTATCAATGATCAGGCTTTCTTAGATTAATCAAGTTATCCAAATAGTGTAGGCTACATGGGGGAGAAGTGCTAGTGGAACTGGGCACAAATCATATTGTCAGTTGTGGTCACTTAGGACACCGGGCCGCACATAAGTAACTTACATTATTGCCATGTTATTATCAGTCTGAAAGATGTTTCATTTTGAAAAATTACCGGATACTCTCCCAGTTACACCTGTCTGTCTCTTGACACATGTCAAGCGCTTGTCTCGGTCACGTGATTCATTACCCCAAAATTACGCTCACATGCTAGTGAAAGTGAGTAGCAATAATAGTAAACGTCTTTAAAGAGCCTCTGATGTCATTGTTGCTCATTACCCCCAGATGGACCGTCTTTTTGCAGAGAAATAAGCTTAGGGCTCCTACTGATTCAGCGTTATGGTGAGTTGTATTTTTTATGCATTTTACATTTGTTTTCATGCCGGTCGTATCATTTTATTTCGCCGTGTTTATCTGCCACAAATTGTAGGCCGGTCCGTGAAAATATTGTCTTAAATGAAACCAGTTCATGGCGCAAAAAAGTTTGGGGACTGCAGGAGTAGTAGTAGTAGTCTATTTGTGGGTGTGTGACTGTACTTCCATCCTGTGCAGTTTGTCACCAGTGTTATGGTGCTGCTGCTGAATTTCTGATGTAGACATATCAGTGATTGAGGGGATGAACTGGGATGTTGGTCGTGTATTTACCTCTCTCTGAACTGTCAACTGAGCGTGCCGTTGGGCTCTTTCCTTACGGCGCACAGCCCCTTCTGAAGTGGACTGTGTGGGACAGTCTGTAGAGCGATCATTATAGGCAGAAAAGACAAAAATAGAGGGAATAGCATCTGGTTTCAACCTTTTGCTTCTACGAGTCACCAGTACTCCTGCTTCATCAAAAAACCTTTCCTCCAGGTAGTCTTCAGCTACGAAGTGCTCACTACAAATCCTAGCATTACCAATAACTGGCGGATTCTTCCTTTTGATTGCTGCTAGCCAACATAGGAGAGCAAGTGGTTGTCGTGGAAAATGATGGAAGTGTACAGTCTTCTCCCGGTCTTTCACTCTGTAAAATTCATTTGTGCATCCAGGGGCAATGCAAAACATGCCTCCCTTAACTCGCTTTCCTGTTGGCTGCTCTTTCTCTGTCATTTTGAAATCTCTGCTCCTCACTGCGATCGCTAGCTTGACAACCAACCACTCCGCTGACATCACGTCCAGCGACACAACAGACATGGCGCCGTCCTATGGTTTTGACAGCTGAAATTAAATGACAGGATTTTGAGATTCCTTTCGTTTTCAATGTTTAAACTAAAATGATCTTTTTAGGGTGAGAGACCCTCTTTAAATTATGATAACTATGTTTAGTGTTTCGTGTCCTCTTTCCATTTCTTTCTGACCTCATCATCTATGTAAATAAGATGTAATGTCAAGATAACGGCAATTAACGTATGATAAAATCAAATCAAATCAAACGTATGATAACGGCAATTAACGTATGATAACGGCAATTAACGTATGCATGTAATGTTAAGTTAGCTATGAGCTACACTGTTGTAAACAATACAGTTAATGACTGACAGGACGTTACTGTTGGATAGTTTTAATATTTATTGTTGTCTCTAATAATGAGGAAACATGCTTAACATTTGAAGGACATTGGGAATGTTTATCCTTGCAAGAAAATGTTATGAGTAAACATTAACGTCAGATCAAACTACACAGCTGTTAGCTTAGCACAACCGTTAGCCATAAAAATAGCGTATCATCATGCTCACCAGTATCCCAAGCTCCGAGCTGATAATTCTCCAGGCACTGTTCCTTCTGTTGGAGTCAAAGTAGTAGGATGACGACAGGTCATATAACTCTGGGTATCCCTGGACAAGAATAATCAGTCGCTCCTCCATTGCAAGGCTGCCTTTCACACCACAGGATGTTGTGAGGTCCGTTGGACGGAAAGGAAGAAGCAGGTCCGTGAAGCTGATTGGTTAATTCTTCACATGAGATGCAGTGCGGTTGCTGCATTCGAAAAAGCTGAGATTTTTCCATCTCTGCGCCGCGGACGCGCACGAAATAACAGACGCGTCGCACCGACTGCGCGCCACTACGGCGTCGCTTTGGATTGTGAGCACGCTTGACGCATGTCTACATTGAATCTAATGGATTTGTGCGCGCAAAAGACGCTACATCTGAACGGCCCCTTAGTTAATATAACTTAAGTAATGTTCATGTTCTTTATTGCAATGCAGCATTTATTTAATAATTAATAAAATCCAGACATTTTTTCAGGAAGTTTTTGAAATGTGTCTTTAGTAGTTTTTGAAAACCGAGGTTTGAACCGAACCGTGAGTCGGGGGGGGGGCGCCAGCAAATATCTTGCCTAGGGTGCCAAATTGGTCAGGCACGGCCCTGGGCCAAAGGGGGGCGCTATAGCAACCAATCGAAATTGCAAACTTTGAATGGGCATATCTCATGCCCCGTATGTCGTAGGAACATGAAACTTTGCACAGAGATGCCTCTTCTCATGAAGATCAAATTTGCCTCAAGAACCCATAACTTCCAGTTTATAGATTTTCCGCCATTTTGAACTTTTTGAATTTTTGGAAAAACACTTAAAATCAATCTCTTCCTAGGAAGTTTGACCAATCTGCATGAAACTCGGTGAACATAATCTAGGGACCAATATCTAAAGTTCCCTCTTGGCAAAAGTTGAAAAACTTCTATAAGGCAATGAATATTGCAGAGGGCGTGGCTCATCACATAAAGGTATATAACATCTCAAGGGTTTCACCGATCACCACGTAACTTTGTAGGCATATGACCACACATAATCTGAGGGGACCCCTCCATTATTGACCTAAATGGGGGCGCTAGAGAGCTTATTTCTTATCTAGGCCAAACCGCCATATCGATTTTTACTAAACTTGGTAGATATGTAGAACAGGACGCCTCAAGATGACTGGAGAAATTTAACTCTAATTGGCAACTGGGTGGCGCTATAACAACAGCAAAATGCTTAAAAATAGCTAAAATGCAACCAATCGCTGTGGCTCCCCCTGTGGCCGAATGTTGTTGTTTTTTCTTCAACTTTTTGGTATGACTAAGTCATGGTATGGTATGCTGTACATAATCACGGAAACTGTCAGTGTGTCATTCTGTCAGTCAGTCATTCTGTCTGTACCATGTTTTTCTACTCACTGACGTGGTCAATCTATGTGAAACTGCACATAGGCATTGAGGATTGGCATAGGTAGAAGGTGACAACGCTACCAATGGGTATGGACTAGTTATTATTACTATTAATTAATTATTTACGATAGCCATTTTGGAGGCCTGTCACGCGGTCAGGTCACAACAGTATTTTTCTTTATTCAAGGTAAAATGTGGTAATGACGGAACGAATGTATTGTAAACACTATTTGTTTTTAATACTGCCGTTTGAAATGTAAATAAATGCACCTGAGTCAATGAATCATGTTCTCAATTGCATCTTTATTTGGAAATATTGTGGTTGCACAACATTATTTTTCACATCGAACACATGAAAAATTATCCTCATGACACAAAGCAGTAGGTTGTATTTTGTTAACAAATCGACAAACCATAGCATCATCACAAATCAGATTAGTCTTGTACATGTTTAACAATTTTGCATAAGGCACCCTTTATTGTATATGACACAGAAAAAATGTTTCACAAATGTTATAGCATGATTACTTTAAGATATAGATCTTCACAAAGAAATTGTTTATCCCAGGTGGGAATATATCAGAGTCAGGAGGGTTGCCAAAACTATCAAAGATGTTTGTCTTTTGTGATGTAAATATCCACCCAGTGCTCACAGGTCAACTATTGACATGCAAACAGATGTTTAAGGCCATCCATTTGTGGCTACCAATGGGAGTATAGATCAGGCTTGTGCATGTGCATGAAACAGAATTAGGCATAGGTGCGTCTTTATAGGTCTGACGGAAAAAAAATG